AATTACAGCAGCATATATATGTGTGTATATATATATATATATATATATATATATATATATATATTATTCCTTTTCTGAACTTATACTGATTGTTTTTTAATTTTTAAAGAATTTTTGATAATATCTAACAGTATCAACAATAAAGTTTGGTTGAAGCGAACAGCTCTGGTGTTGGAAACATTTCTGAATCTGCAGACATCCAAATACAAGTATTGGAATCAGAATATGATCTGAAAGATCAGAACAGATAACTGAGGGGGTGGTTTATGCCGATTTACCATCCCATTGTGCATGTAAATGCTTATTAGGATCAAGTTATCCTGAATGAGGGAAATTGACCTTAGTAAGCATGTGCACCTAGTGTCAAAATTCAAACTTTTCATGTTTGAATGGCGCATTTTTCAGTCTGATCAGCTGTTTTATTCAGATTATTTATGTCCATTCAACCAGTTTGTTCAGTTTATTTTGGGACAGTTTAATTTGAAAATATTTCAATTCGAGGGTTTAATTTGTTGAATGTAAACCTAGCTGTTAAAGGCAGTCAATCAAGCATGGAGCGGCAAACTAATTACATGCAGCTTTTAATGTTTCTTCTGCTCATTTATCTTGGTTGCTCCATTAAAAACAGTGTGTGATGTCATAACGTTTTTTTTTATTTTTTTATAAATCTTTGAAGTTTCTTTCTCAGACTCATGAAAAAGAAACATTTTACACCTGACGGATTACAAACTTTGAGGATTCTACGTTCTGTCATTTGCATATCAGTGTTTTTCTGCAGGGTTGTGGTGCCACAGGCAAGTGCGCTGGAAATGGTTCAGGTTCTGTTTGTGGTCCAAAGACTCGTAAATCTCTTGAGGAGAGCCATGAATCCAGATGAATTCTCTGTTGCTCTTATATTCAGGATGGGATTCAAAAGCAGTTTAGTTTAAACAGGTTATCCATTTCATCTTCTTCTTTTGGGTTTAGATTGTCTTGAAGTCAGTTTCTCATACTGTATGCTATGCAGGTTCTGTAAGATCTTAGTGAGTGGGCTGGTTATCAGAGGTGACAGCCAAGTTAAAAAAGGAGGATTTATTCAATGTTCAACTATTTCATGTTCAGGACTAAATCAGTCTTTACAACATGTTGAAAGTTGTCCTGTGTACCAATTCCCTAATCCTCCAGCAGGTGTCACCAAATCCTCTGTTGCTTTTGTTTCAGACGACCTTGGAGCACGCCAGGCCGGAGGAGCCCAGCTGGGATGAGGACTTTGCTGATGTCTACCACGAGCTTATCCACTCCCCGGCCTCAGATACGCTCCTCAATCTGGAGCACAACTACTTCGTTAGCGTCTCTGAGCTCATCAGTGAGAGAGACATGGAGATCAAGAAGCTCCAAGAAAGGTAGCCGTTTGCTATAAACCTGGATAATCTGGGTCTCCAAGTAATTGTTTCTACAAAGTTAGTTCTTCTAATATAACAATTAATTTACTTTACTTTGGGTTGTGGAGCTGAAGACGTGCTGCCAGTGTTTCTCTCTGACTACCTTATGACTAGGGATGTGAAATATGGCTGAATATTCTATGATGAAGCTTTTCATTTCACTATATATAAATAATTATTAATCCGTTTTTTGTTTTTGTTTTTCCTATTTGAAATAAGGACCAAGGGACAACGAGGTTGAATTTCAACTGAAACCTTATTTAAAAGTAACCTTTAACCTTTAAAAAAAGATCAGCCATATCATCAAGCATGGGTTGCTTAGGAGGGAGAGGTTCAAAGCTTTGCCACTGCCTCAATTTCCCAAAATGCCCTTTAGTTGTGGCTCAGAGAGGTGTTTTCTCTTGATGTTGATCGGGTAACCGTGGTGATGTGTATTCTTGTTTTATTGGCGCAGCCCTGTGAAGACATATTTTCTGTGTCTGGTAGGCAAGCAGCAGAAATGGACAAAGTGATGCATGAGCTGGGGAATACGTTAAGCGACCATGATGTAAATACAGTAGCATCTCAACACTTTGATGCACAGCAGGTATAACATAAACTTGGAAAGATTTAGTTACACCAATCTTCACCTGCAGTCACACCTGAGTCTGAACATGGCTGCTTTTGTTTCTGTTTTACTGTAATGTTTAACACTCTCTTCTTTGGCAGGTCTTGGAGAACAAATGGGCAAGTGAACTTAAGCAGGTGACAGGCATTCAGAAGCAGGAATATCAGGAGTGGGTCATCAAACTGCATCAGGACCTTCAGAAGTCCAACAACAGCAGCCAAATTAAGTCAGTTCCTTTCTCTATACCACCGCCTCTGACTGTCTTGTTGGTGCTTTAACTCATCATGAGCTTCTGATCGACCTGAAAATAGAGATGTTTATATGTGCAGAAGAAATACTGTCAATCTCCTTCAGATTTAGTCAGTATGACGTAAAGAAAACAAGCAAAACAATGTTAGCAGGACAGGCTGTAAGTAGGTGCAGGAATCACATAAATCAGGGTAACTATAACCAGGTGCTGCCCCTTCCTGAGTCTGTCTGTACCTGACATGTGCAGATCTCCTTTATCAACACAGAGGACACCTTTGGACTTAAAGCAGAAATTGAAACTTCTTTTTGCTGAAAATAATGTTTGGATAATGTAAACTTTGCTCTGTTTTAAAGTAGAAACAAACTGTTTCACATTTTATAAATGTATAGGGTTGCATTTTAACACGAAGTAATTCAGCTTAAAGTAGGAGGGGAAATAATTAATTACTTTCTCTTTATTTTTTATATAACCCTGTTTGAATATAGAAATTCACAGATATGAAAATTTGTTCTAATATTGATGGACGATAATATTAATGCCGATATTTACCCATATTGTATCCTTTATATATTCCTATCAATATGAGGCTGTAAATAAATAAAAAAATCCCTCCTTAGTGGTTATGTTGCTGGTCTGCTTCAGATGAACACCCACAATCCTTTGCTACATCACTATCGCTGCCACATGACCAATCTGCTTCCCTGAAAAAAACAAAACAGAAACTGGACTAAAATAAACCCTGGATGTTGATATCATCCCAGCTTTACTTATTTAACCGATACCAATTTGTTTTAGAATTACTGACATGTGCTGATAGTGATGTTGATTTTGATTTACCGTGCTTCTCCATTAAAACGATTTTGAGAAGGTTTTAAAAACCTTCACTCCTGCAGAGTCTTTATTGGAACCCATTGTTAGTGGAAATCTGTGCAGCGAACAGAGTGCAGCTGTTCTGACTTTGGCCACAGAGGTTCTCTAGAGAACGACCAGCATTATGGAGCCCATTGACCCCAGTATACAGGTCAAAGAGGTAATTATTATCCAGTTTAAAGCAGGGTGATGTTGTAGAGCTGCATCCCAAACTTTGAACATCTTCCAGAGCTTTGATCAGCCATCTTCTGAACATGGAGGAGCTGGCAAATATTTTGGCCTTCATGAAAGTGAAGACAGGACTACAACAGAACTGGTCCTGTTCACAGTTTGTAACAAAAAATTTATGAGATTCATCAGAGCAGATTCATGGATTGGAGCGGCTTTGCCGAAGTCCAGACCTAAAACCAACTGAGAATCTATGGCAGGATTTTAAAAACTGGTGCTTAAAGATGTTCCCTATCCAGTCTGATCAACTTTCCCTATGAAGAGGCTTTCTATTATAGATGTTCTAACAGGAGGAGAAAAAGCTCTGACTCTGGTCTGAAATCAGATAAACACCAAACCTTTCAGTTATGCAAATGAAAATATTTAGAAAAGTCATTTAGAAAATGTTTCCTGCCACTGCATTTCATCTCTACTTTATGACTGGTCCAATAAAATCTGACTAGAATACATCAGGTCTGCAGGTGGAAGAGGACAAAGTGAACAGGTATTTAAATACTAAAAATAAACTTTTTTAACAGCTTTGCTTCCTCTCCTGCCCTGCAAACCTTTTGATCTTAGCTAGTTAACATTAATGGATGGACATGTGGCTGCCTTGTATTTATCTGATGTCTAATGATTATATTTCTGTGCATGATGTGTTTTCAGCGAGGAGATCAAGGTTCAGTCCAGCCAGCTGTCAGAGGATGCAGATTCTTGCTCAAGGATTTTTGAGGAGCAACCTCTGCTGGAGGAGAGCTTCACCATCCACCTAGGTTCCCATGTTTTTTTAAAGCATTCTAGACTTGTGTTCAGGGAAATGGCAGGTGTCATTTTTTTCCTTACAGAATGCCTGTGTAACTGTTTGTTCCTCATTCAGGAGCACAACTGAAGACGATGCACAACCTGCGCCTGGTCCGGGCCGACGTGCTGGATTTCTGTAAACATAGACGACACAGCAGCAGCGGAGCAAAGCTGCGGCGGCTGCAGACGGCTCTGTCACTGTACTCCTCCTCACTTTGTGGACTGGTGCTGCTGGTAGATAACCGGGTTAACTCTTACAGTGGAATCAAGAGAGGTCAGCAAACAAAGCTCCTATATATATATATATATATATATATATATATATAAAGTTATTGATGTACAAATAAGACTAATGCTACATTGAAAAAATCATGGCATGCTTATGTGTGTGTGTGCTGCAGTGGAAATTTGGACATGTTTGCAGGGTAAATAAGGATCTGTGGCTACCGTATAACTACTAAGAATGTAAATTACATCATAAACGTATCTTCCCTAGAAAGTTACAGTATAGAGGTAAATAACTTTTACTAGAAGTTATGTGAAATGGATTGCTCCAAATTGCATGCCAAAGTTCACCTGACGAGTAGAAGCTTTGCAAACGAGGCATCAGTGGGAAGCCCAACCTCCGCTTTCAGTGTACGCCATCGCTTGAAAGAATCTCCCAAAAACACTCTGGTCTTGTTTCTCACTTGTGAGGCCTTTCTTTTCTTCTCATACACTTTGTAGACACTTTTTCTCTTACAACCCTCGACCATTTTTTCAAAGAACCACACTGAGAAAGATGAGCTTCAATGACTGGCTGAAACCGTAGCTCACCACACATATACGGCTTAAAGTGCACACGTGCAGAAAACGATAGCTAATGGAGCGAGCACGTAGGACAGTCTTACATAAATATATCAGCAGAATGATTGAAAATAAAGATGACCACTAATTTTGATGATCCACTGAGAAATAAAAGATTGTCCTCTATATCAGAGTTTTAAAAGGTTCCTTACCCTAAAGAGGAACCAGGACGGTTTCTATTAAACACTTTAAATTAAAGAATCCACTTAAACAGATGGTCAGACACTTTGTTTCTCACAGTCTCACACCTAATTTGATCCCAGGTCTTTAGTTGAACCATTTAAAATACAAATGATAGAACCGGTTAAGCTTCTAACAGGGCAAGCAACGAATCTGTTTCCTTGTTTGCATGTCCTGGAGTGGATACATTTAAAGGAAAAAACATTTGAATCTCTGCAGAGCTAGTGTTCCTGCAGCCAAAGAAGCTGCAGTTCCTTCAACCGTCTCCTGCTCAAACCTGAACAAAACACCCAGATAATAACAAAAAAATAATAGAATTCAGCTTAAAATGAATTATGTTGGGTTCAACTGTTGCAGACAGATTTATAAATGTTTCTACTTTTGTTTTTAGAATCCTAGAAGTATATTATGTTTAGTGATAGAAGTTTATGTGTATAATGTGCTACATATTTATCCAAAATTACTTAATTTGCTGTGGTGTCTCGTTTTAAGAAGCAGAATTTTTAAGTCTTCCTGTTGTTTCAGGAAATTCAGGCGTAGACTCTAAAAACTGCTCAGGGTCTGGTTTTAAAGATGCACAGACGTCAACCCGCTGCACCCATCTCACATCTCCCCTCTTCTATGTTGCCTTCTAGACTTTGCAACCGTGGCCAAGGAGTGCACAGATTTCCACTTTCTGAGTCTGGAGGAGCAGCTGGAGGAGGTGCAGCAGGTGGTTCTGTACGCTCGGGCCCAGCGGAGCAGCAAGCAGAAGGACCAACCAGGTCAGTAGGAATGGAGCATCCCTGATGCTCACTATGTCAAAGAACTAAAAACTGTTCTACATGACCAAAATACAGAATTCTACTTAAGTTTAGCATTTTTTTTGGTAAATTGCAAATAAAAGAATCAAAATAATTCAATCTATTTGATTTATTTTAAGTGATGTGTGAGTATAAGTGTCTTTAGCAGCATGCTGGTTCCCGGGGTTTACATGTAATTGCTTCTCAGAGAGCCAGAGTGTTTCAGTGACATGGGTGTGATATGGGCAGGGATTAGCCGCTCAGAAAATAGAACACAATTTATATGACCCCTCCAGCGCTGACAGAAAGCTGTGTCTACATCGTTGGCTAAGTGGGAAAGTGGAAGGTCTCTGGGAATATAAACAGAAACATTCCTGCTCGTCTGAAACCCTTTCAGGGACGCTCCTTCAGCCGGTCCAAGTAATCTTCAGCTGTAGTTATAGGTTCTTATCTGTCATTATTGTATCTGCAGAAATTCAGAAAAACGGAGGAGATGATAAGAGCAAAACTGTTGAAAGAAATCCTTCAAATATTCTACCAGGTATTGATTTTAAACTGCGCAGCAACACTGGATGTTATGTTGACCCCATGTTAATCTGAGTGGTCATCATGCATCTTTCTCTTCGAGGCGAGTTCTACATCTCGAGGCACTCCAACCTATCGGAGGTCCACGTCGTCTTCCACCTCTGTGTAGACGATAATCTCCGCTCCGGAAACATCACGGCCCGGGATCCGGCCATCATGGGCTTAAGGAACATCCTGAAGGTCTGCTGCACGCACGACATCACCACCGTCACTATCCCTCTGCTGCTGGTCCACGATATGTCCGAGGTATGAACAGCTCAGAGCAGCAAGGGTGTTTGGATGTTGTTGTTCACATTGGTTCTCTAATTGACAATCAAACCATCTGCTGCTCACCAACAGCTGTCTTTTTACAGCCGTTACATGAAAAACGGGATCATTACTAATAATAATAATTGAACATCATTGATCTTAAAACGGAGAAGCTGACGTCTGCATCTTAACCCATCCCCTGGGGGAGCAGTGGGCGGCCATTGTGC